CTGGCTCCATCCCCGCCTCTTCGACCTGTTTGTTTCCTCTCCACCTATCCTCTCCTCTATCCCTCTTCTATCCGCCTCCCACTCTCTTTCTATTTATTTCAGAACCCCCTTCCCCTCCCCCTTTTCTGATGAAAGGTCTAGGCCCGAAACATCTATGAAGAGCTGTGTGTATGCCACACAGTTGCACAGGACAGGATGCTGAAGACAGGGTTAGGATAGAGATTGGGAATTGAACAATTTACTGCTTAATTTTGTCAGAGCTGAGCTAACCACTTAAAACGGTTTATTAAGGGATCAGATAAAGGAATCTCTGGGGAACCTGTGCCTTTGAGACTGTCGTGATCTAGTAAAGAAGGTTCTGTAGGAGTGTGCCATATGGGTGAATGTGATTCGAGGGAAAAATTGGTAGAGTGGATAGATAACAGATCCTTTGTACAAAAGCCAAGTTAAAGTCCTTTGGAACTGCACGTAATGCGACATGTTTGTGGGGAGTGATGTGATTGCCTGTGGTTGAGTAAGACATTATTATGTTGTTTTCACTAGTTGAACTGCAACTTATCTTTTTATTGAAGTATCATTTGCCTTGTAAATTTATATTTAATGTATATTCATGCTGATTCATGTTAAAGTCAAATTCAAAAGTCAAAAGTCGGGATGCCCGACTTCATCCGAAAACCAGCCCAGCTCGTCGCCGCCTCCTTGACCTGTCCGTCTTTTCTCCCACCTATCCATTCCTCTCACCTCACTGACCAACCCCCACCTCCACCTCCTACCTACCAACTTCATCCCCGCCTCCTTGACCTGTCCATCTTCCCTTGACTGACCAAACCCCATCCTAACTCCCCACCTACACTCACCTTTACAGGCTCCATTCCCGCCTCCTTGACCTGTCCGTCTCCTCTCCACCTACCTGCTCCTTTATCCATCTTCCATCCGCCTCCCCCTCTGTCTCTATTTATTTCAGAATCCCCTTCCCCGACCCCCCCTCCCCCATTTCGGAAGAAGGGTCCAGACCCGAAACGTCAGCTTTCCTGCTCGGCCTGCTGTGTTCATCCAGCTCTACACCTTGTTATCTCAGATTCTCCAGCATCGGCAGTTCCTACTATCTCCGCTACAAGAAGTAAAATCTTTTTTCGAAATTTCTTCATTTGGGATTCATTTGATAACTTTTTTTATTTTGGTTTACAGTTTTCTTGTGAAGCAAGTACCAATCAGCTCCTTAGATTTTCATGATTCCTTTGCTGACATTTATCTGGCTATTCTACTAACACTGATAGTTGTCAAACTGTTGCTTTACATGCCAGAGCTAACAAACTATGATGAACTTTGATTTTAATAATTAGAAAAATTTACTGGAGAAATCTATCTCAAAATGATTACACCAAAGCAGTTTGATCTGTTCTCTTTGATACTGTGCATTAACATGACATTTATCCAGTTATTATCTTACCTCATTTGGTGGTAATAATGCAAATGGTTTGATAACAGCTGCCAATGGAACCTGAGATTGTTTGGCTATGTCTGCTGTACTAGGGAAGCAGTAAGTTGTGCAGCGTATAAAACGAGGGCTTGCATTTCCTTTAAAATATAAATGAAACAAAAAAATGAATATTTGTTATATTCCTCGGCAGAGGTTTAATTGGCTTACAGTTTCTTCACTGCGATAGACTATTCATAAAACTTAAAAGAAAAATAAAGGTTTCCAATTGCTGATATATTTCATAGAAAAGTATAGGATATTGTACAATCCTGTAGATGGTCAGATGACATCCTAATTCAAATTCCGTGCAGGGACAAGGGGTTACCTTTCCTCCAAAGGTTTGTGGAAGAGGATAATGAGTAACCTCATTATTTCTATCCATTTCAGTAAATCATGGTGGCAAATCATTTCAGCTGAGTTTAACTGTCATCAAAAACACTACTCTACCTTAACATCGGAGAGAGGTGTGACAACAAACACACAGTTGAAGCGACAAGAGTTGACAGTGCTTCCATGTTCTCATTGCTCCTAACTGCCATTGCATGAACTGTAGTGGAAAGGCGGTACACTAGGTTGGAGTGGGCATCTCTGGCTGATCACAACTGTAGGGGTCACTTGCTTGAGCTTTACCAGGTTAGAGAAAAATAAAACTTATGCTACTGGCTGATATTTGTCGTTTGCTACTTTAATAGTGATATGATGTTAGGGAACTAATAGAGACGATTTAGCACAACACCAAATGGTACTTAATGTTGATTTGAATATTTAAATTCTTGGACTTTCTGCACCCAGAATGGAATGCCTACCGTGTGTGTCCATCTCAATTTAATCAGACAGGACACAATATTTATGCTGCTGAATCACTTTACTCAGATATAATTATGTTACCTATTGGCAGCACATCTGTAAAGGTAGTGGTTACAGACATCAGCAGTTCTTACTATCTCTGGGTGGTTACAGACAGTGAGTGCTTATGATACCACATAAGGGCAGTCAGCATTTCTCAAAAAGGAAGTACGTCCTGCTTGCAGACAGCAGAAAAACACATTTGGAAGGATAATAGTTAGCCTGTAATTGGCTGGATTTAAAGCAGCACAGGGATTGGTGTGGGATGAAATGAACAAAATTCCCCAGCAGCCACTGACCAGTGTGATCTCATAGATTCAGATACATACAGCACGGAAACAGACCCTTTGGTCCAGCTCATCCATGCTGACCATATATCGTATATAAATCTAGTCCCATTTGCCAGCATTTGGCCCATATCCCTCTGAACCCTTCTTATTTATATACCCACCCAGATGTTTCGTACCAACCTCCACTACTTCTTCTGGCAGCTAGTTCCATACACGCACCACCCTCTGCGTGAAAAAGTTGCCCCTCAGGTCCCTTTTAAATCTTTCCACTTTCGCCTTAAAGCTATCCTCTCTAGTTTTGGACTCCCCCACCCTTGGGAAAAGAAGTTGTCGGTTTACCCTATCCATGCCCTTCATATTTTACAAATCTCTGTAAGGTGACCCCTCAGCCTCCAACCCTCCAGGGAAAATAGCCCCAGCCTACTCAGCCTCTCCCTATAGCTCAAACTCTCCAACCCTGGCAACATCTTTGTAAATCTTTTCTGAACCCTTTTTAGTTTCACAACATCCTTCCTATAGCAGGGAGACCAGAATTGTACACAATACTCCGAAAGTGACCAAACCAATGTCCTGTACAGCCGCAACATGACGTCCCAACTCCCATACTCAATACACTGGCCAATAAAGGCAAGTATACCAAATGTCTTGTTGCCAGAAGTTGCAAACCAGCTGCAGGCTAACAGAGTGGAATCCCATTGATTGATAGAGACGGTGATAGGAAGCATGCAAGACAATGTGTGCGCAGTCTGTGGCACTTTGCATTTTCATAAATTCTGCAATGCGTCAAGTTTACTGCTCTCTTGTCCTGCTTTACACTATCCATAAGGAAGTGGATATACATGGTTCCGGTTTAAAGGCTCTTAACAATCTCCTTGATACATCGGAAAATTGTGAGATGTTGCTGATGTCACTTGTGACTTCTGAAAAAGCTCTCAGCATAAGTAAACAAAACTCCAAAGAACTGTGGATGCTGGAAATCAGAAACAAAAACAGGAATTACTGGAAAAAACTCAGCAGGTCTGGCAACATCTGTGAAGAGAAAGCAGTGTTAACATTTCAGGGCCAGTGACACTTCTTCAGCACTGATTGTAGCCAGGAAAAGGTTGGTATATATGCTGAAGATGGGGTGAGGGCAGGAATGAAATGCAACCCAGAGATAGAAAAACAGTTGGGTAGACAAAGGAATGGGTGAAGGTCAGCCTGGGAGAATTAATAGCTGCCAATGGGGACCATTAGTGGCTGACAATAGGTTGGTTGTGGTAGCAGCCCAAGTGATGACAAGGCCTGGGACATGGGTGCTCAGACCCTAAAATGATTGAACTCGATACGGAGTCCTGAAGGCAGCAGGGTCCCCAAGTGGAAAATGAGATGCTGTTCTTCCAGCTTCCTCTGAGCTTCACTGTAACACTACATCAAGCCTGAGACAGAGATGTTGGCCAGGGAACACAGTGGTGTGCTGAAGTGGCAGGCAACTGGAAGCTCAGGGTCAGTTATGTGGAAGAACACAGGCATTCTACAAAGCAAACCCTGTCTGTGCTTCGAATCCCCAGTGTAGAACAGAACCTATTGTCAGCAGCAAATACAATACATTAGACTGAGTAAAGTGTAGGTAAATCACTTCTTCACATGGAAAATGTGTCTGGGGCCTTGGATATTGAGGAGGAAGGAAGTGAACGGGAAGATGTTACACCTTTTGCGATTGCAGGCGAAGGTGCTGTGGGGTGGTGGGGAGGTGTTGGGAGTGGAGGAGTTGGAGACCAAAGTGTCGTGGAGTAACGGTCCCTGTGGTAAGCTGTTCGTAGTGGATTCACCAATTCCCACAGTTACCTTGACTATACATCTCACACCCTGCATCCTGTAAAGACTCTGTTCCATTCTCCCATTTTCTCCGTCTCCATCACATCTATTCTGGCTATTCAAGCTTCTATAAAAGAGGGCCACCAAAATATACACCTTCTTCCTCAACCAAGGATTTCCCACCACTGTGCTTGACAGGGCCCTCAGCAACTTCTGACCCATCTCTTGCACTGTGGCCCTCACCCCGTCTCTTCCTTCTCACAACAGCAATAGGGTTCCCAGGTCCTCACTTACCACCCCACCAACATCCACCTCCAAAAGATGACTGGTCTCCATTTCTGTCACCTCCAGTGGGATGCCACCATGAGTCACATATTCCCCTCCCCTCTCTTGTATGCCTCAGACTTTTTCTAGCATACTTGGATTTAATGGGTTTTCAGCCACATACAGAATGAGATCCAAGACTTCTTAGCTAACTGAATGTTTGTATGAAATGCAGTTCCTGTTTAAGAGAGAGTTTTAAACAATCAAGGGCTCAAATTTACAAAAATGCTCGAGTTCCTTCCGAATCCAGAAAATAGAATATTACAACCCAAACCACCTGCACTGCATTATATCATAACACATTCACTTAATGTAAAATAAGGTCAAATATGTTCTTATCAGACTTTACTTGACTGTAAAATGGCAGGAAATCACTCAAATGTATGGTGGTGGGCTAGATATAAAGTGTACCAAGAATTAAGAATGGTAGTACCACAGTACTATAGTTCATGCCCCGTTATGATTTCATATCATTTACAAAAATTCGAATCACCAATTTAACAATATTAACTAACATGTTACCTTGATCCTGTACCACACAGTTGGTGGTAACAAGGGGAGGAATTTGGCCCTTGGTATTTGTTACAAAGAGCTGTCCTGATCTTCGAACTTTATCTTCTTCTATAACGTGGATCTAAAAGAAATGTACATAGTTATATATTTTCAAATTAAGATCCAATGCTTCCATTATGCACAAAGCATTTTTAATTTATGTACAGTATTTATAAAATTGCATGCTAATGTTTTTACTGTTCTTTTAAAGTTAAAACCTGATAGTTTAGTTACAACTAACTTCTCCAAAGATAGCCCTATGTTAAGGGAAAGGCAAATACATTGTTATGTACATAAAAACAAATATGAGTTTATCAATGATGCAAGCTATCAACTTAAATGTCCCTCTTCTGATTCCTGATCTGGACATCACCGCTCTTCCACAAAGGTCAAAGAAAGAAACCCAGAAATTGCCAGAAAAGCTCAGCAGGTCTGGCAGCATCTATAAAGAGAAATCAGAGTTAATGTTTCGGATCCAGCAAACCTTTCTCAGAACACTTTCTTCATCAAAGAAAGGTGGCTGGGATGCAAAAAGAGGTCAGACAATGGAACAGGTGAAGTAAGAAAAGGCATGGCAAGACAAAGAATTGAGAGCAACTAAATGAGAGAGGGACATACAATGGAAAATGTAAGAAAAAGAGATATGGGAGAGATAAGGACAAACAGAAGGAGGGAGGAAAAGTAGAGAGATTGAGACATATAGTGAAATGATCAGGCAGGGAAAAATGGATTAAATAATTCAAAGAGACGATAAGAAAGAGAAAGATTAAAACTGCACAATTACAGCAACAAAACAAGAGAGAATTATGTCAAAGGGGACAGCATGAGGGGGACAGAGTCCAGTAAAATGTCAAAGAAATGACAAAGGGAAAAGGCTTTGTAAGAGATGAAGAAAGTGATATACAAAATGAGATTTGGTATAGAGAATGAGAAAAAAAACAATGCCAAATTGTTGAAACAACTGCACATCAAAAGATTGTGAAATAAATTCAGGGTACAAAGAGAAAGAGAAATCAATGAAAAAATATTTGACAAAGACAAACCAGGGTGTCAGAAGGATGTGGTGCGAATGAAGTTCCTTTGAGCTTCTGTCATACTGCTGCTGTAATGTTGAAGAAACTGTGGTAGAAACCTAATTTACACCCATAAATGGGGGCTTCTGCTATCTATCCAATGAAATTAAAATGATGGAACATGAGAAGCTCTGAGGAAATTCTCCCTCAGGACTTTTAACATAGGTTTTGAAACCAATTCGGTTACTCAGTCTGCTTTTAATTAGGGCCAGCAGAGGTTACGGATAAGTCAAACACTATTTTCATTGCATTGCAGCCTGATTATCTTGGGCTGTTAACAACAAGTTCTTCCATTCCACCCTCTCCCTCTCTCACCTGATCAGACACAGATTGAAAGGGAACCCCAAAGAGATTTGTCAGTGGGGTTTCTGCCAACCTTTTTACTAGCTACCCAAATGCATCCAAAAAAATGCACAAACTAAAAGATCACAAGATCAAATGTAGAAGTAAATTATTGAGCCCATTGATTCTGTTCTGCCATTCAATGTTTCAATGTATATGTACTGAATTCAATAATCTTCAACAACATTTTCCTGCCTTATCCCATTACCCTTGATTTCCTTAATGATTAAAAATCTGTCTACTCAGCCTTGAATGTACACACCCATCCTCAACAGCTTCTGTAGTAAAGAATTTCACAGATTCACCACTCTCTGTGACAAAGATTTCTTGGTCATCTGTGTTAAATGGGTGTGTCCTTACTTTGAGATTAGGCTCTCTATTCCTAGATTCTCTCACGAGGGGAAAGACCTTTCTGCATTTAACCTGTTAAGTCACCTAAGAATCTTGTGCATTTCAATAAGATCTCTTCTCATTCTCCTAAACTCAATGAGTGCAAGTCCAACCTACTCAACCACTCCTCATAAGAAAATCCTCCATACCCAGGATCAACCTAGCGCATTTTCTCTGGACTGGCTATAATCAGTGTATCTTCCGTTACAGAATGAGAGCAAAACTGTTCACAGTATTCTAGCTGTGCTGACCAGTGCCTTGTATAGTTTCAGCAAGACCTCCTATTTTATACTCTATTCCCTTTGAAATAAAATCCAGCATTCCATTTGCCTTCCCATTATCTGCTGCTTGGATGCTAGCATTTTGTAATTCATGCACTAGGGCCCCCAAATCCCTCTATGTGGAAGCTTTCTATTGTCTTTCTCTACTTAAATAATATTCAGCTCTGCCATTCATTCTGTCAAAGTGCATAATTTCATATTTTCCCACATTATATTCCACCGGCCAAGTTTTTGCCCACTCAACCCATCTACTCTCCTCTCTATAAGCTTGTGCCATCCTCACCACATGTGTTCCCACTTATTTTTCTCATTTTCAAACGTGGCAATAGTGTATTCACTTCTGTCATCTAAATCAATAAGTTATTTGGAATATATGTGTGCCCAGCACTAATACTAATAGTTACAGGTTGCCATCCTGAACATGCCCCCTTATTCCCAACTCTGTCTTCTATGAGTTAGCCAAATCTTCCATTTATGCTAAGATACTATCTTGGGCCCTTGTCTTACTAGGAAGCTTAACATTCAGTACCTAATTTATGGATTCTTGGAAGAGTACTACCAGTACATCCATTATTTCTGCAGCTTTTTCCTTTAAAATTCTACGATACAATCCATCAAAGCCAGTGGAATTAACAGCTTAAAGCCTTTGCCAAAACTTTAAAGGCCTAAAGCCCACTAGCGTCCTCGTATATTTTCTCTAGTGACAGTTATTGTGTTTATTTCCTTTCCACGCTTTAGCTCCTTTATTATTTAGTATTATTGTCATGCAATTAATATCCTCAACCATGAAGACGGGGTGCAAAGTATCTATTCAATTCCTCTGCCATTTGCTGGCTCCCATTACTACATGCCCAGCTTTGCTCTCTAAAGTGCCTATGTCCAATGGCACCTCTGTCTTCCTTTTTATATATATAAAAGATGTTCATACTGTTTGTTTATATGCCACTTCCTCATTTGCCCTCAAAGTTTAATTTTCTCACTCTTATCTATTTGGTCATCTTTGTTGGCTTTTAAAACTTTCTCATTTCTTTGATTTATCACTAATCTTTGCCACATTGTATATGTTTCTTTCAATTTGGTAGTGTCCTTAACTCTTTCATTAATCATTGTTGGTTTATCCAACTCCTAAAGCCCTTCATCCTCACTGGGATACATCCTTGACATAAGTCATGAACTTTTTCTTAAATGTTTCATCATTGTTCAACCATCGTTTTGGCTAAACTACTTTCCCAGTCCAATCCGGCCAATTGTGCTCTCATTCTTGTAAATACCTTCACTTAAGTTTAGCACAGTTGATTTGGACCCAAGTTTCTCGCTCTTAAACTGAATGCTAAATTCTATGACGTTAAGGTCACGCTTCCTGAGGGGATCTTTTATTCTGCAATCGTTTACTAAATATACCTCTTTACAGATTATCATATCGAAAATAGCCCAATTCCTGCTTTGATCCAAAACATCCCAAATGCATTTTATGAATTCTTCCTCACAGCAACCTCTGCCAACATGATTTTCCCAATCTATATGAAGGTCAGGTTCAGTCATGATTAATGTACTGTCTTTTAGAAGATTGCCTCTTTATCTCATGATTTATTCTCTGTCCTACACTAACTACTGTTAGTGGACCTAGAATATAATCCCAGCAATGTTTTCTTCTCCATGTTATTGCTTACTTCCACCCATATTGATTCTATACCATCTGATCCAAAGTAATTTCTTAATAACCACAAAACATGGCCTCTTACAGTTTTGTGGACACTGGGCAACGTGGGGAAAAAAAAAATCACAAACATAGTTGTAGCAGTAATAGGAGATATTTCCCAATCAGCAAATTTCATCAAAATACTTATGTACTTATACTAAATATAAACGCCATTTTAGACAAGTATTGGCTCACTTAATATAAGCCTATTAAATATTCATACCTGTATTTTGTGAATTAGAACATGAATTATTTAAATGTTGACAGAAAAAACTGTGCAATTATAGTATTGATCTTTCAAGAGTCATCCTTTAAAGGAAAATTCATTAATTTTAAAATGTAATGCTTTTGTATGCTTCATCCCAAATATAAATGCAGCTGTGTAAATCAATTAAATTGCAATAAAGTGGGCAGATTCTGCAATATTGCACCCCTGGGAGATCCTCTCTGGGCAGGTTTTTCATTATGAATAGGCAGGTAACAATCTGTGGTGACCTGTAATGTGCCTGGGAGAACAATCTCAAAGAATTTACCCTCAGTCCCTTTACCAAATTATAGACAATTCCCAATGTTTCTGAAACGTATTCTGAATTGATAGAAGATAAAACTTGCATATATCTTTAACCAATACACCAACCTTTGGAAACATCTTCACAACTGTAACAAATTAGAAGTTGGATTATTGCATTAACTTTCAACCACATGATGTATGGTATCAAGTGACTGAGCATGCACAGCTCATAATATACTGTCTGCTATAGTTTATTTATATGTGAACATTAATAATGGAGTGATGATTCCTTATTAGTACCTTTGGCCAACAAAGAAAAGGTTATTAATCATCTTACCATATTGCTATAAATCAAGTGGAGTACAAATAGTTAAAAGCATTCAAGCAGCCTAAATTTTTGAGGTGTTGTTTGACAGAATACAGAAACTCTATTCTGAAATGTTTTACCAGTTAAGCATGCTAACAGGAATTGGCTATACTTCAGAAAAAAAACTACTAACATTTTACAATACTCTATGCTTGTTTCAAAACTATCAAACAGTTAGACTGAATTTTGCAAAATGTGAATAATTTTGTCTGCACTAGGAGGCTTCAGCTTTCTGATAGTCACTGGGTGCATCATGGAGTGTTCATTGTTAACTAAAAGTACCTTGAACAATAACTTTTTTGTAACAACCACAGTGAAAAGGTTCAAACCTGCATCGGCCAAATGCTTATAGCTTCAAATATTCACTGTTTTGAGAGCTGATTTTTGAACAGCACAATTGATAAACACAGTTTTCAAGT